AGTGACAAATGACAAGTTTTGTATAGTTCCCAAGTATACAAGAGCAGTACTTCTCGAACTTTACTGTGCATAGAGATCACCTGGATATCTTAATAACATGCTGATTCCAGCTTGGTCGGCCTGGATTACAACTCAGGATTTTTCATTTCTAAGAAACGTCCATCTAATATCTGTCTGTGCTGCTGGTCCATGGACCACATTTGGTAGAGCAGGACTCTAGAATAATTCACTTACTCCCCCATTTATTTTAGATATTTGCTCAAATATCACATTAGCACAGCTTTCCCTGACCAGTGTATATTTCTCTGTCACTATCATCTTTACTGTGTTTCATGTCATTATATTACTTATCATTATCTGACACATTTTATGTTACAGAGGGCCTATTTCGGTTCACTGCTTTGTCATTTTCTTAGAACCAAATTGAGTATGAAGCATAAGAAAATAATATCAATTGAATGAACGTATAAGTGAAAAATGAACCATATATAGTTAGATTAAAAGCAAAAGGAGAGCTGTCATTTTCATAAGAAATGCTTAGCAATTGCTTCCCTCTACTTTATCTAATAACTTCTATTATCCACATAGTTCTTCAAGTGAATGATAGTTTATCACTTCAAAACTAGTCAGTTATCTCTTATTAAATATGGTTATTATATAAGTCAGAAGGCAACAAATATTGTAAAGATTTGTACCGATCTTAGCAAGGAAAATGTGTTAAATGCTTTTTGACAAGTGTATAATCAGGCCGTACCAATGCCTTTTTAATAATCAGTGGTGTCAGCATTGATCTCTAGCAGTTCAAAAACATTAGAACTTTAATCATCTTCTTTTGATGTTATATTACAAAGCAATAACTATAGGTTATCTGCAATCCAGAAAAAAGGCAGTTTATCTAGAAGGGTTGCTAAAGGTTTTGTAACAAAAACCAAAAAGGTACCATTAAAAACTGTTTCAACACGAAATGTTCAATACATAGATTCATTTACCATTTCTGCATCTGATATCATTCATTTAATATTTATTCAGCAAACATTTTTAAGTACCTACTATCAATATTTATTTGCCAGCACACTGAAAATCTTATGTTGCCCTTCTAAAATATTATATTGTACTTCAATAACTCATTAATATCATCAAATTTATATGGAGCAAATTTACACAGGAGACAAAATGAGTGATGGGAGGCTCCTTCCTCTCTAAGAGCTCATTTGAGTGGAAAAATGAACCAGTCATGATCAGGGGCACACCAGGTGTTAGAATTCATGTCTGGGAAATTCAGAGAAAGAATCAATCAATGTGACTGAGAAGATTAAAGATGGCTTCTTAGTGCAATTAAAATCTGAGGTCCCTCAAGATGAGGGGGAACTCTACAAGTAGGAGGTAAGAACAGGGAATCCAAGAAGAGGAACACTTAGAGCAAAGGCACAGAAATGTGGCACCTTGGTACTGAGCTCTGGAGCTGGTCCTGGGCAGCAAGGGAAAGTAAAAAAGAAAGGAGCAAAAAAGGAGGGATGAACAAATTCGAGTTCTAATACATATCTACTTGGAAATGTCAAAATGAAACTCCCCAAAGAGCTTTCTGAAACAAACAAAAATGCCTTTTATTCAAAATGAGAACAAGAAGATAAAATAGGTCCTGTGCCATGGTGGGAGTGGGATGATTGGTGAGGGGGAATGGAAGTTGGCTGGGAACATATAGAAGTGTAAAGGGTTTATGCACAGGAATTTTAGGATTATGTCTTTCCGAAGGACAATCATGAAAGCAATTCAGAGATGACTGCAAGGGCAAGAAAAAGGAAGGGTTTTGTATGTATGTGTGTATGTGTTATCATATTTCTTTGTGAGAAGTGATGTTGGAGTAAGGTCACTAACTAAACACAGGTAATTAAGGTTTTTGCAAGAATTGTCTTTACATTGTGTTTGATGAAATTATTCTGAAGGATCCAATATATGATCTTTAAAAAAAGGAAATAAAGAAGATAACTTCATTATTTTCTTTATATTATTCATGAAGTACATGTTAATTTCAAAGTAAGCACGAGACACAAGTGAGTGTCAAGGAAATTTTAAAAGATGGCAAAAATGAATCACAGTCATACAACAGGAGAGAAACAGAATATGTCTGAGATTTTTCAAATTGGTTTTAATTCTACTGCCTTGAATAAGACTGATGATGGATACAGTGATACAGACTACTGGGACCACGGTCATTTGAAGCAGAAGTATGTATAATAATTTTGGCCTCAGAGTCAAGATCGCCATAGAAGAGAAATGTGTTAAACACCATAAAAACACAGTTGTAATAGTTTCATATTTTGCAGCACACATTTATTTAGTAATTCTTTTCTGTCTTGAAGCAAAAATGAAAAGTTCAAGTAAGTAAAAAAATGAAGAATCCCTTTGATCTTCAATTATCTTCAAGTGGAAACTCAAGAACTAAAGTCTGGTAAACCTTATTCACTAGTTCAACAACTCTTTAAGACATACCAACTGTAATAACAGAGAGATCCATCAGTGAATAAAACACAGATATGGTGTTTGCTTGCATGGATTGCACAGTCCTGTAGTTTTGTAAGATACTCTCCTTTCTAAAATAGAAATCTCATCTGTTTTCAAGGTCAAGCTCCATTCTCACACTTCCATGTCATTACCAATGTAGGGTAATGGTCCATGGAGGCTTACCCTTTCTCTAACATTCTGCAATTCTTAGCGATAGTACCACTATTATAAAAGTTGGGCAGATGTCATTGGGAACTGATCTCTGTTTAACACATAAAAATTATTTCTCCTCAGGGGCTGGTGGAGTGGCTCAAGTGGTAGAGCACCTGCTTAGCAAGCATGAAGCCCTTGAGTTCAAATCCCAGTACTGCAAAAAAAATTTTTTTTCTCCCCAATAAGATACAAAATATCTAGTAATACTGAGTAAATCATTTAGAGGATTCCTGATCAAGTATTTGAAAATGACTGAAAAACACATTTACTGGAAGCCTTGTTCTTGAGTATACTAAAAGAAATGTCAATGAAATCTTTTCTTAGTCTTGTCGTAAGAGTCACACTGGTCATGATACTGATGCAAATGAGGGGAACCTGGTGAGAATTTTCTAATGGAATCTTGTAGCACATTCTTCAGTTCACTTGTTATTTTAAAAGTAAATTGTTCATTATTTCCTGAAGATGTTCAATTTAAATGTCCCCCCAATGACCAAAACAACAATCCAATCAGTTTTCCATTACAAACAATAGTTCAATTAAGGGATTGTACACATAAAGTTTGCAGAGGGGAGAATAAAACTGATTGCCTCATGTTTCATTACCACACTTCCAACTGATTTAGTGCTGTGACAAATTAGACCACAGCAAGACTATTAAAATAGGGAAATCATTCTATGAATCCGATCTGTACTTTAGCATTTTAAAAGAAATTTGTTGTTCTTACTGGCAGATTTCTTTAGAAGCACTTTAAAAATCAACTTACCTGATTTATAAAACATGCTTTGAGCAGGCATCTTGATAAAGTACTGCATATTTTCTGAATTAAGTACAGTGCTTAAAGGAAACCAAGCTGAAAGATAGTTTCAGGGTAAATATGAAGATTTATATTGATAGAACTAGAACGGTTGTCTTTTAGTGCAAACTTTAGGACTTGAAGTCATTCTGTTCAAGGTATGTAAACACTCGACTACTTATCAAAAGCTTCTAATTGGTGCAAGTGTGGTCCCTAGTCATCTTATCAGTCTGCAGAAGGATTTGAGATGACATTTTTCAGAAACAGGAAAGCAGCCAGGGACTTTATGCCATGTGTCAGGGGATGGCAAAGGGCACAGAGATCAAGAATGAAAGAAAATAACTCTGAAGAAAATGGAAGATCCCATGAAAAAGTTCTTATTCTATATTATGTAGAATTTTTCAATCAAATCATGCTCAGATTTTTTTTCATTTTTTGATTTACAGTAGATACATTTGGAAACATTTACTTGTATTAGAAAAAAAACATTTAGGAAGTAAAGATTCCCAGAACTATCTGGAAAGAACACGTTCCCTGGGTATTGCTATCATCTGTCTTTGACCATCCCAAATTCCCTCTTCACCAGCATTCTTACTATACTGGCATAGGCCAGCATTACCAATCATTACCAATCATTTTGTATAACTTACTTGCAATACCTAATTATATAAAGTCAGGCACAAATGACTGTAAATCTCAAAATACATATGGAAGAAAGTATTTTCTTTATTCTTACAGACCCACTAATGATAAAACCTAAGCTGCTACAGGCAAGACACAGCATCAATCTTCCAAACAACACTAGACCAGTGAAGTTAACAAAGAATTATTTGAAAAGGCTAAAGGAGCTCTTTATACCACCTGCACAGAGGCACTTCCCTGACATTTATACCCTCATGCACAGCTGTTTAATCCTCATCTTTGCTAGCCATGTGGACCAAAAGCAATTAACTATGCTTCTTGAAGACAGAAGCCATATTTCTCTTCTTCTTTTAGGCACAAAGTCTAGCCTAGACTGTTGTGCTAAAGTAGCATTCATTAGTAAAAGCAATCTATATATGAACTTGCTAAGAAATCAACCACACAACAGGTAACATCCCAGTGGTATTACTGAGTTTCATTCTGATCACTGAAGCAGTCGTTTAAATAAACCAAAGAGCAGTATAGCTAATTCACCTCAGGATATCTCATCAACTTTTAGTTGAGTAATCTAACTGATGACAATGGCATCTTACCAAGACTCAGGACTTACCGTTATTTATTTCAAACAAGGAATAGTATAGCAGATAAGGGGCAGGATATCTAAATGACATCTAAAGTCATGTTAGTGTTAATGAGAATTAAGTTAATTCCCCAAGGAGAGAATATGGTCTACTCGTCATGGCCTATTTCTGTAGAAAAAATGTCTCCACCTTGCTTCCTAAATCTTCATACTTTTCAGTATCCATTGGTGACCAAAAAAATGTGAACTAGCTAAGAATACAAAGGAAATATGATTATTTTTGTTTATTTGTATTCATATTTTCATGCAGGAATTTCTAACTGCTTAATCTTTTCCCAGAAGATTAGAGGCAACAAAATCTCATGTTCTCATGAACTTCTCACTCTAAATAGTTTTTTAACACATTATCGATAGGACTATGGTTTAGAAAGGTAAGGCAGATACACATTCCCAAAGAGACGCATCAGAACATCATACGTTTGGGTTCTGACTGACCTTCAGGCTGATATTGTGCTATAATTGTCACGGTCTGTCCAGCCCCCTTTAGTGCAGCAGCTGCCTGTTCATGAGATGCTCCACGGAGGTCAATACCGTTCACCTGAAAAAGAGGAAATCAGGGAATTTTAGGCACGGTATCTGCTTTTTGATAAAAACAAAGAGCTTATGCAAATGAATAAGTTATCTAAAATTATGTCCTGTGCCTCAAAATCCTTCACATCCTACTCAATTTTTTTGTTTGTTTGTTTAGTAAGCTTCATGGTCTTGATAATTTTAGATAGCAAAGACATAAAATTTCATCTTATGGTGTTTCTGGCATGGTCTCAGTGAATTGAAAACATTATTGTCTAACCATGTCCACTCGGACTTTAGAGTGTGCATTTACCATGATCCTGTGAGTTTCATAGATTTCTGGGTTAGACAAAAGCCTTCAAAATTAAGGGAAAACAGGATAATGAACAGAGACACATGTAATATACATAGACAAGTATGTGCTGACAGATGAATATATTCAGATGAGTTTCTGAGAGACTTCTGGAATGGGGCTGGCTGTCTGCCAAATCCCTCTCTTTGGGCAGTTGCCTAGTCCTGTCATACGGAGCTTGGTGAGACAGCCCTGAGACCTGTTCCAAAATAAACCTGACTGTCCCATTTCTCATGCACAATTCCATAATGAATTCTGACAAAATGAAATAAAAAGTGCCTGGAGTTTATTTTGCTATTGCTAATTCCCATTTTGGGGCCCATCCTGAAAGAAAAACAGAGCATCTAACAAAACAAGCCTCAGACTCTGCTGCAGTGAAAAAACAGCCATACATCAAATTTAGTGAGAAGCAAAAGGTAAAATCTTTCTTAAATCAGTTCAGTCTATGTCAACACAATATAATTGCTATGTGTTCTGTGTCTGTTCCAGAAGAGAGACAGCAGGTGGGGAACAATGGACAATGACACAAGTCCCTAAGAAGTCTTCTGCTTGAAGTGAACACAGAGTAAGTCCAGTTTTCTAATGTACACTAAATTAGATTTTTGCAGATATCATAATTTGGATTCCTTTTTATTTATAGAGCAGATTTCTATGGTCCATGAAAGACGGTCAAAAGAATGGATCAAATAAAATACATCATCTTATTTGGCTTTGTGCCAATCCTCTTAACAATGATACTGAGTGGTTAATGGGGGCAGGGGTTGCACTTTGTTTCCCCACTAAGTCTGGAACATCAGCAATCTTTAACTCCACATCCTGCTCCTTACACAACTCTATTAAAAGTCTCTTTATTTTCTTTTATAGTTTTCCTTGTCACTTTCTGGACTTTCTGTTCTGGTGAATTTTTTACTTCAACATTGTCTATACAGTAACACAGCGAAGTCCATTGAGCTAGGCCTGGCCTGGCTATCATATCACCTCTCTGAATTTCAATTTTCTTCCACCTCAGAGGGAAGGGAAGACCAGGCTACTTGGGTATAAACCCCCGTTGAATTATAAAATTCTATAGTTATTGCTAGGTAGAGGATAAGCATTTCTGAAACTACCAATTGATGCAGAAGTATTACTGGTATCCAGAAGAGCCAGGAAAGGTAATTTTATGTAGGTCTTTTCCAACAGGAAGCTGTAATGCATAGGCTTCATGTGCCAAATAATTTCTTTTCTTATCAAGCAATCAGGGATAATCAAAACATATGGTCATGGTAAAAAATTCTATTTCAGAAAGTTATGAAAGAAAAAGGCAAAAGTCCTCCACTTCCAGAGGTAACCACTGTATGTATACTCCTTGGAAATTCACCATGGAAGTACAAGTAAGCATGTGCCTTTGTGTTTCTTGCTCCCCCTACATATATTTTAACATATTATTGCCTGTTTAGTAATGAATAGGTCATATCATATATATGTTTAAAACTCATTTTTTGTTGTATTTGTCACTTAACCATATGTCTTGGACAACTTTCACACAAGTTCATATCATTCTGTCTTTGCAATGGGAGTCTAGTTGTCTATGCTGTTAATGTTGCAGCATTTTTTAGTGGACTCCGTATGATGTGGTTAAGGTTATTTCAAGTTTTGACTTGCTACTACAAACACTTATAAATATCTTTATAAAGGACAAAATTTCCTAGAAATGGACTCCTTAGGCCAAAGAGCATATGCATTATTTGGTGTTTTAAATTTGCCATTGTACATTAAAAATTATTACGTATTCATTAAACATATAGAAACTAGTAAAGAAGAGAACAAGAAAGGTCATGATCTCATTTACCAAATAAAACATTGGTATAAAAAATAAAGTTGGTACATATATATAATACACACACATAAAAATTAAAGCAGTATAATAGAGCATAGAAAAGATCCCCCTACCTCCTATTATTGTTTCCAAAGGTGACCATATTGATGGTTTTTGTATATATACTAATAATTTTTATTATGAATATAAGCTGATTTACAGAGAATTTAATATTAGAAATTATACAAATAAGATCAAGTCCTATATATTGTGTTATACCTTGATTTTTCTGACTTATTATTATAGTTTAGCTTTCTTAATTTAGATACTAGTATACATTGATCTCACTCTTTTTAATACCTCTGGAGTGTTTTACTGTTCAATGTAAAACAATTTATTTTTGCATGGTCAATAGACACTTCAGTTCTTTATCATTTTGCTATTATAAACAATGCTTGGACTGGAGGTGCAGCTCAAGTGGTAGAGCACCTGGTTTGGAAGCATGAAGCCCCGAGTTCAAACCCCAGTACCATCAACCTCCAAAAAACAAAAAATAACAATGCTGTAATAAATGTCATCTAATGGATAAGCTGTTGAATAAAGGAAATGAGTATAAAATCTTGGTTGTCATTGCCAAGTTGCCTCCAAAAGCGTTGCATTAATTTATTCTCCCACAAACAATATATGATTCTCTACTTCTTCATACTCTTATAATAATTGCACATACCTTAACCTTTGATGTTCTCCATTTTGATATGTAGACAATTATATTACTTATTTTTGCATTTCTTCAATTATGAAGTTAAGCACCTTCTTATACATTCGTTGGTTATTTGAAATTCCTTTTACATAAAATGTCTGTTCCTTTACTTTGCCTAGTTGTTTAGTTTGTTAAACAAAAATTTACAAATGTTATCATAAATTAAGAATATTGATACTTTCTCTTTAATAACCATTGAAAATATTTTTTCTGTGTTATTTGTACTATTGTACTTGTAATTTGTATTATTAATTTTAATTTATCCCTTTATGTTCTTTCTTGACATTGAGAATTTTAAAATTCTTTGTGTGGTCACATTTATCATTTCTTTCTTTTTTGGGTTTTAAGTTTTATATTACATCTTTTTCTCCATATTATATTTAACAAAATTTCCATATTTTCCTTTAGTACAACAATAGTTTAATTTTGCCATTTAATCTTTAATCTCCTGGAATATATTTTGAATTTTGATGTGAGAATCAAGTGAATAGTCACTGTTTCTTGAATCTTTTAGTTTTTTTTTTTACAATTTTGTTAGCATATATTTGTTGTACGGGGGGGTTTCACTATGACATTTACATATGTGCTTACAATGTATATTAATTAGATCCACCCCTCCTCTCATTCTCCCTCATCTCCCCCCTTAAATATTTTCTTTATAGAATAAAATTTCTACATCTTTCATCACTCTAGTTATCCTCTGAATTTTCTCAGTTAATGCTCTAAGAAAAGTACATAAAAACGTGGGAACAAAAGATTTGGAGTTACACAGAACTGGGTTTGAATCTTGTCTATCTGTCAGTTATTTCTAGTTAAACTGGAAAAGCCACCTAACTTCCTCAAAGCTCAGCTTCCTTACCTATAAAATACTACCTATCTGCTTATCTGAACAGTTTTACCTACAAACAGGCATTCAGAAAACATCATCCATTATGTTATTCAGTTTTTCAAAACCTGTGATTATTAAATGATAAAATCTAATTGAAATTAACCAATACAGAATAGCAGTTACTTAATTTTTTTAGGGAATGAAGAATTTCAGCATGAGAAGAGCCTTAGGAACTTTGTCCAGCATTTCTATACTAGCAATGAGCCCACATAGGAGAAGGGACTGGCCCAAGTCATTTGCTTCCATTTGCATAGCTTCAGTACCAAGGAACTCTCTCTTTCCCTGGTCTGTCCATTCCTATTTTGGATATCTCTTAAGGGTGTTATTTTTAGCATTTTGATATCATCTAATATCTCATCAGAGACCCAGTTAAGTACATGTGGGGTCCAGTATGGCAGCATGGATGCTCATTGTATGGCTATTAATCTTTATTAATCTTAATATGTGCCTAACACCGTACTGAGAGTTAAACATTGTGCTGATATAACATTGGTTTAGAATATCCATTTTAGTCATTTCCCTGTCCAGTTTAAGGGAAGAGTGACACTTAAGCATAATCAAGTGATTTGCTGTTCAGTGGTGGACAACAGTAGGTAGACACACAAATTAACTGCTTTTATAAGAAAAGGTCAGTATAGTCTGGAACATAGAGAAGGTGCCTCTACCAAGGTGAAAGGAGGGGTGAGAAACTTTTCTGGAGGTGGTGACATTGAGACAAGATGTGAATGAAGTATCCAGGCAAGGATGGGTAGCAGTTCCTACAGAGGGATGGGGAGAGAAGAGTGGGCAGAGGAGTAGCAAGTATTCCCACATAAGAGGGGTGGGACATGTATGAAGGTCTGGAGGTAAGAGAGGGTCAGGAACATCTGAAGAGTAGAAAGTAGCTGCTACTGAAGGGCAGATGGGGGAGGAATGAGTATGGAAAAGACATGAGAGATGAGGCAAGAGACATGAGGGTGGTGAGGGTGACAGCTACAATGATGATAATGATGTCTGACGTACATAGAACTTACTATGCGCCAGACATTGTTGTAAGTATTTTTAATGTAAAAATTCCCTTAACCTTTACAACAGTTCTGTGATGTAAGAACACACAGCATTCCCCATTTATAGAGGTGCCCACTGGGGTACAGATTAAGTAACTTGCCCAAGGTCACATAGCTAATACATGGAAAAGCCAGGAATTATGCCCAGTCTGTTTTAGGAGGCTGTACTCCTAGCCCTGACATACT